GGGGGGGGGGGGGGGAGAAGGAATCCCAACATTAGAATTGTTGGAGGATCCTGGGTAATGACATCCTTGGGCAACTATGATGGCAATTGCTACTTTGATTTATACATTGTAGTTTGATACAATTGTGCTGGTTAATGACCGCAATAAAGTTATTTATTTATTTATACAATATCTACCTGACTGAGCCACTGATATGCTAATATATAACTACATATGTAGGCAACATGATAGATCATAGGATTATATTGGGCCCTATTTGTCAAAGATTTCTGTGAAACACTTATTGTTTTAAAAACAAGATATTCTGGGGAATACTGGAACATTCAATTTTCTTCTGGACCATAGCAATTTGGCTGCTCCACTAGTGATCTGGTAGTTTTCTACCCATTTATCCCTGGAAAAGCTGGATCAGCAGAGTCTGGGAAAAAAATGGAATATTCTGATATTTCTGGAGTGTCCCATCCCTGGAACAGTGAGTACCCTAGTAATAGTAAGGCACTTATGCTAAGTACTAAGGGCAACTATGTTAACAGGAAACTACTTGCTCACAAGCCATTGTATAAAAGTCTACACCTGGATCTGCACCAGATCTACAGTAGCCTTAAATCAAAATGCCTAAGTTGATAAGAAAAGATAGTGAACATAAATAATAGTATCTGATTAGATAAATGAAGAATTACTATAAGGATCCTATGGAGTCAAACATAATTGCACACTTAAGGAGCATTGCCAATGACATAAAAGATAATGTACAGTCTTAGAGAAAAGTTTGGCTCCTGAACCTGGTTTCCTGGAAGTCTGGCTTCCCTCCCAGGTAGCAGGGAATTTGTCTGCGCCTTTCCTGTTTGTCCAGTCTTCTAATGAACCCAGTATTCATTTTCAAAATATCCAAGAGCATAACTTGAGGAGAAACAGGTCCACAAGTTTACATCAAGGGGCCTGAAATCAAGGTATTGTCACACAGTTTGAGGAGGCTGCTGTCCTGAACAGGTAACTTCAGGCTTTTCTTTGCCTAACGTCCTACACATGGAATTCCCAAAGTGCGAGATTCCAAGATACTATTTTTCAGTTTTCATCTAAAAGGGAGAGTTGCCATTCTAACCAGGATATAACTGCTTATTAAAATAAGTTTGATAAGCTGAAGAGGGTCATTTGCTTCCCACAGGCCACCTGATCCAGCTTTTTAGACAAGCAGCTGTTTCTTTTCTTGCCTCTGAGAATGGAGCTATGGAGCAACGGGCCATAGGCCATTCACTTCTTCCAGCTAAACTGATAATGCAACTTGTCAAATATCTTAAATGAAAAAACCAAACTTGTTTCTTAGGAATTAGTAATATAGGAGAATAAGAGCCTCGTGGCTCTCCAGATATTGCCGAACTAGGCTTCTGAGTATCTGTCAGTATGGGTCACACTGCCTGGGACTGGTGGGAATTGTAGCTCAGTAACATCAGGAGGGCCATAGATTCTCCATCCCTGTTAAGTAATATGATATTCTTGATCTTTTAAGAAATGTTAGTAGGCTTACATGATCCACACACAAAGGCAGGCAATGGAAGTGTCCAGTGTTTTTTCTAAACTGCTTTAACAAAAAAGTGTTGCTCCACATCTCCTCTTTTTGAGCCTCTGGGCTAATTCAAACCCCATTAACAAGCTGATAATCCCTCTTGAGAGGATCTTGATTTTGTTTTGGCAGGTGACTGTTTGCTGTGGTCAATATGTACATAGCTAACTTGCAATTCAATCCACATTTATTGTGCTGCTACTCCACCAACTTCTGGCAATGATATTGTTGACAATCCGCTGAAGTGGATTGTTATGTGATATTTCACCATGCGCAGAACTCTCTGGGTTCACTCAGTCTAAATTTTCAGGACATTTAGTCAAAAAGGCAAGCTAAACAAGAAGGCATGCAGTTATGCTCTCTCTCCCTCTACAGGTAAACAAAATTGGCTTTAGAAAGCCTGTAATAAGGGTGTGTGTGTGGAAAAGCAGTGCATACTTGCATGTGTTCTCATCCCCAATTTCCCCCACTATCAATTCCTGTTGTCAAACTAATTTCTCCTGGTTCCCATGGATTCCAATAAGGCGTTTCCTCTCACATAAAGCCACGTTACCCCCTAAACATGTGGATGATTGAAGACACATCACCAACATGTTATATAGCCAAAGCTTTGATATGATGCTAACTCCATGGCCTAAAATGCCACAGTAGATTGGCTTTTAAGTTTCTACTCTGTTCTCCTTTACCCCACTGGAATCTATTTCATTTGTGAAGTGTGCTAAGTATTATTTCACTCCAAGGTGTTTATTGGTTTAGGTAGTATTGTCTTATAATGTATAACTTATTGTAATATACACTACAGGAGGGTTCCTCAACCTCAGCGACTTTAAGATGGTGGACTTCAACTCCCAGAATTCCCCAGCCAGCTATACTGGCTGGGGAATTCTGGGAGTTGAAGTCCATCCATCCTAAAGTTGCTGAGGTTGAGGAACCTTGTGCTACAGGGTATACCAAAAGTCAGGCCCCATAGGTCAATAGATGATCTAAAGGAAATCATCACATTAGAATTTGTGATTATTGGAGAAAGTGTTCCTGTGCTTAGGAATGTTCAAAGGTCACGTGTCAAATGAGTAAGGAAGTGTTTAGAAGAAAATGGCAACCAACTCAAACATTTGATGTATGTAATAAATTGTCTGGGGGGCCTGACTTTTAGTACACCCTCTACTGTACACTATTTTACAAATGTTTGTATACTATAGCTGGCAGGCAGTCTGGAGGCCTCAAAATGGTTTGAAATTACATTAAACAATCCCACGAATGTTCTCCAGTTTTTCCCTAATGCAAGTGATTCATCTATGATACACATCACTGCCATGGCAATAAAGATCTCAAAGCTTGTTAGCATTCTGCAATATTCTTCAAATTTTCTGTTTCTACAAGTTGTGATAAGGTTTTCTGGAAATCAGGAAATTGTTTTAGCTTTTTATAACACCGTATCCCTACTTTCCATTGAGGAGGGCAGGGTACATTACCCCCATCCCTCCCTCTTTCGGTCACTGTCAGATTGGATTCTCACAACTATGTGATATAGTCTTGAGAGCTAAGAACCGGGCTGGAATTAATCTCTGAGCCTAAGCACTGATTTCAGTTTTGAACTACAATCTCCAGAGACCTAGGCCAGCATTGTGAATCGCTATATTATGCTGGCTCTTCTTCCAGTGAGAGGGACTATGACTGGGCTCTCATATCTTCTAAGCTATAACTTGGCTTGTCTGGTTCCGGTTTAGTGTGTTGAGGAAGCCATCACTGTGATTTGCAAAGCCTGGTCATGGCTTAATGCGGGATGTGAAGAGAGCTGATAGATTTATTTGACATCCCATGGAGGCAGGTTACCCCTCCCTTTTTTTGTGCCTTCAAGTAAGTCAGTGTTGACTCTTGGCGCCTGCCTGGACAAGTCCCTGCTGTTTCTCGGCAAGGATTTTTCAGAAGTGGTTTGCTCTTGTTTCCTTCCTAGGGCTGAGAGAGAGTGACTGGCCTGAGGTCACCCAGCTGGCCTTGTGCCTAAGGGGGGACTAGAACTCACTGTCTCCTGGTTTCTAGCCTGGTGCTTTCACCACCACACCAAACTGGCTCTCATCTAGCTCTTTGCAATGAATGAGCCATATGATGGAAGGGCTCGTGTCGAGCAGCATTACTTCAGTTCAGTTCTGAAACTCATCATTTCAAAAGTTTTTTTAAAATGTCCCTTCCAGCTTTAAGGAATGCGGGGGTGCAGTTTATGCACTGGGATGAGAGATGAGCACCTGCTTGAGAAGCGGAACCAGCATCCACTGGCTGTTTCAGAGGCTCAAGCGCCACATCCAGGAGCCTTCCAAAGCCAAGTCCTCTCAGCTGTTCAGCAGCAGCAGCTCCCACAGCTCCTGGGCAGGCCTTTCCTTCTTGGCAGCTCACTCGCACCTTGGCAGCGCTGCCTCCTTCCGGCCTCCGTTCCCTTCAGTGCAAGCAGCCAAGCTACTGTTGGGTCGGAGGAGAACTCGTTTCTACTCACGAATCGGCCTTCTTCACCCCCGTGGTCACCGGGCCAGTGAGCAATGGAGCCCGGGCAGGAAAGCAAGGCATGTGGGCAAGCAGCAGCTGCCCCCTCCACTGGGTCTGGAAGTCTAACAGGGACAAGAGCCAGCCAAGGGGTTAGTTGCCCCTCTGCCCGTGTGGGAGGGGAACCTGGGAAAGCAGCTGCCGCGGACTCGCCCCCCGCGCCCTCTGGACGGTCCCGCCAGTCCGATCCCACCCAGCGCGCCTTCCCCGAGAGCAAGAAAGGCGGAGGGTGCCCGTGTCGCCGGGCGAGACGGCCGGGCCCCGCTGTTTCTTGACACTTCGATGAGCTTTGCCCTGCAAGGAGCAGCTCCCGCCGTCTCCTCGGGGTGGCGAGGCTGGCCGCAAGGTGACGGGCTC